ATATGAAGAGTTCAGATGCAAAAGCCTCTAAGTGCCATCTGAAATTTTTTTTATCTAGAAATTTATCTCTACATTTTTATCAAGCTTGTTTATTTAAGTTCAATAATTTCACTTAACTGACAATTAATAGGTAATTTTCATAGCCATTTAAGTGAAATTACTGAACTTAAATATACGAGCTTGATAAAAATGATCATTCTAGAAGAAAATTTCAGATGGCACTTAGAGGCTTTTGCATCTGAACTCTTCATATATATATATATATATATATATATATATATATAATATATATATATAAAGATTTTAGTTCAAAGTAAAAAGTAGTCTAGGTTGTAAGCATGACTGACCATGATTTGTTTTAATTTTTTTCCAATTTTTTTATAATCTTTTTGACTTCACATTTTAAATAGTCGCGGTGTGGAATATTTAATTTTAAAAGTACAAATATTCCAAATATAGTCTTTCAATGTTTAAAATAGGTTTAGATGTCACACCGCAGGACATGTCAAATTTGCTAAAGCATTTCATGCCAACCGCACAAATATTTCCTATCTCTATAGCCATATCTAAAAATGACCAAAATATCACAGAAAAATATATATATACACTGCCTCATTCAGCAGCACGACAGGGCAGATGTGTTAGATGTTATAACATTTAATGGGGAAATATTCTCTGACAGGATGAGGACAGCGTCCATGTCAGGAGCTAGCAGGGGCAGGCCAGTGAGTCGTGACCTGGTGCAATCAAAAGAACGCCAACTGTGCGACATCAAACAGACAATCTGGCCAAAGAAAACAATGCTATTGTGCTTTGCTAGCAGGCCAAGGGACCAAATTATGAGTTTACACATCTCTGCACTTAACTTGCAATGAAGTAAAACAGCCATGCATTATATAGTACAATTAAAAAGCTATATTTTTAGAGCACCATTTATACATTTTCATTTTGGAAAATTTGGAATAATGCACATTTAGGGTGTGTTCACACATGGCAGGTTTGGTTTGATTAAAGCGAACTTTGGTGCTATTGCTCTGTTAGTGCGGTTCATTTAAATAAGTGTGAACGCTGCCATCCGAACCTTGGTTCACACCAAACAAGTGGACCGAGACCAAACTTTTCAGGTGGTTTCGGTTCGCTTCCAAGCAAACTGGTGCAGTTTGACTGAAATACGAATGCAACATGGAGCAAAGACATCTAAAAAAAAAAAAAACAGGACGTGATACCACAAGATGCTACCCTAAAAAGGATTTTAGGAAAATAATTTCCTCACTGTGTCCGTGAAATTCCTACAATACAGATACAGCATATTTGTGCCTTTCACTATTTTGTTCTGTTCATCCTACATTGTTCTCTCTATGCAGTCAGTGCTGCGGAGAGTGCAGGTGTTGGATACGGCAGGTTTGTGTGTTGCTAAGACTAACTGTTAGGTTCTCCTGCAGCTTTATGCAGAGCAACCACTGGGATCCTCTGCCCTTTCAGTCCTAGCTGACTGACCAAGCCTGATAACTCGAAAATAAACTTCATGTGACTCATGATGGTGCTAAAGCAAACAATACGAGTCATTGCCAGGTTTATAGATAGGAAGCACAGAAGCAACATGTGGAAACTATGAGCAGAGGTCATCAGACTTACTATGTGTAACCTTAAACTTGAAAAGGTCAAAATTCAAATACTTGATTACTAATAGGAAGTAAATCTCTGAAGAACATAAAATCTCTGATGTCCTAATACACATTACTGATCTTACTGTGCGTGATGTATCGCTATTTTAGGCAACACAAAAGTCTGCCTTCGTAATCTTCATCAAAATAGAACTTTCCTTTTCGGCTGACATCCCAAATCCCACTTATTTCCACCTCCAACCATCTTATTTCTGTCAGGTAACCCCCACTGTATTCATAATCCAATAAATTGCTAATGAATCAAATCCGGCATACTTTTCATTTTACTTCAAAATAAATCAGATTACAAAATGGTTGTGAATGCCATTTACTGTTGACTTTATTAGCTTCTCAGCCATATTGAATCAGAATATAAAATAATCTAAGCACAAATAATATGACATGATCTGTGATAGTCAGGATCAGGATAAGAAGAGAATGATCAAACACCAGGAGCCTGGATTACAAATAACACACCACTTAGGACACGAGTCCTCGGCATAAGCCGATAAAGAGGGATTCCAGGCACAGTTCAGGCCTTTCTTCTCTCTCACAGTATCACTTTCACGACAACCAAGTCGTCGATCCCAAAACGTCACAGGTTGAAGGAAACTACATGGCAGACTTATGGAAAGGTAATCTAACTACAATGTGACACAAATTAGACATCATACCCAAGCAAATACTTAGGATGGCGAATTTTCAGTAACTGAACATATAGGTAAAAAAAATTTAATTTTCAGTTTAAACTAGGGATGCACAATATTAGCCACCATATCGGTATCGACCAATCTATATGTTCATTTTTATTGTCATCAGCCTGATGAGAAAATTTGGCCGATATATTAAAGCCTCAGCTCCTTCAGCTGAGACACTTCAGATGCACACTGTTCGCCATGATGTTTTTGAATTGCTTTAAATATGATTGGAATGACTTCAAAAAGGAAAAATACAGTCATGTGCAACATGCAAGTCAGACTTATAGGCTACATAAAAAACTATAATGAGAAGAACATCATGATAATTGTGTGCTTGGGACGTGGCTTTTAATGGTGACTTGTTTTTTGGATTTGAATTTGGATTTAGATTTATCGGTCAATATTTTTTTCAAATATAAAGAATTATCGGTATCGGACAATTTTCATATCGGTGCATCTCTAGTTTCAACCGAAATAGTTTTGGAGGGCCAAAATTATTGACCGAAACGGTTAGCTTCTCCGATGACTTGTTTTTAACTGTCAGCATCTATTTTTGTGACCAAAAATTAGATAAGCTACACCAGCTGAGTGGATGCACTTCATTGTGACCAAAAATGATGAAAGAGTAGCAATATGTCAAAAAGAAATTCAGGTGAAATATGGAAACCTTTACTATAACTGGTTCATCACCTGTGCTATGCTGATTAGGGTTTCACTGTCAATTATTTGTTTTTTGGCTAAATGAAAACTTTTTTTTCTGGTAAAAATGTATTTCGGTCCATCACTATAGGTATAGGTATAGATTAGGTATAGTGCACATTGCACACAAGCAAAGTCTACACAGACAAAATGTTAAATTCAAATGTACTTGATATGGATGCTAAAATTTAGAAGACAATAAAAAAGCACAATAACATAACTGTCAACATTGCACTAGCATAAAGTTTGTGCTAGAACAAATCTCCCTCCTTCAGTCATGGAAAAAGACATGGCTGTTAATCTGAGGGGTGTTTTCATGTTACTACAACCCCATTTGGCTGCAGCACAAAGCTAATAAGATGCTCCGCACAGGCGGATTCTGTACATCATGCTGCTATTAACAGTCTTAGTCATCATCAGAGCGAGGGGACAGAGACATTCCTGCCAAATGAGCACTGCTGCTCTGACAAACGCAATGTCATGATACCAACGTGCCTCTCTCTCTCTCTCTCTCTCTCTCTCTCTCTCTCTCTCTCTCTCGATCAATGCTCTCTCCTTCTACATAAATAATAGGCATTTCAGTCTGCAAACAGCCCTGGAGGACTCAACCTTTGGGGTGATGCCAAATCCCCATGGTTACTACAATGCAGTAACTGCCTCTTTCCTGTGATGATGATGATGATGATGATGATGATGATGTTGTTGCTCATGAGATGAAAAGGAAACAGACCATCCGGCTTAGTTTGCTGGAAAGTAAAAGGGAACCTTATAAAAAATTCTGTGAACACAGGAGCAAATTTGGCCGATGAGTTTTCATGACTCCTCCAGTCATTTGCAATCAATGTAGCCGTTGAATTATTTTCAGGCACAACTAGAAAAATGTTTATTTATTATTTACTTTCATAAGGTGTCTGTATAATGAGCAATATTAGAGACAGTTTGAGTGGCTTGGGGGAAGGGACAGTGGGCATAATTGCTGAGAACAATATTAAAAAGAGGGTCCCTGCAATTACTCAGTCAATTAACTTGGTATGAAAACTCAGGCATCATCTTAATTATAACATAGCTGCATGCCATGAGAAAGCACAGACCTCATATTTCTATGTTCTTCTTTTAGGGTTAAAATTGTTATCTTTCATACATTTTCTAGGCCGGGGATACTTCTAGGTTTTCTTAGACTGTGGAGACCCATATAGAGTTACTGCCACTTTCACAGATGAAAATACTCAAAATAGAATGAAAAACAAACTCAAAACAGAAAAGCACTTCTGCCTCATTACAAATTAAACACGGAGTTACGTTGAGCACAATATCAATGACAATTCATAAAAACAACTGACAATTTGACAGTCACTGTGGCTTAACCAATATGAAAGAAGCCATTTTGCTGTCATGTGACAAGAAAAACATTAAAGGAGAGTACTCTTTTTTGCATTAAAAGACTTTGAAAAAATGTAACTTAATATTTTGACCTTTCTATGAATAGGCATTTCAAATAGGTCAAATGGAGTAACTCCAAGACAAAACCTTGATTTTCATGAATCAAAAATACATTTCCTGAATCAAAAATACATTTCCTTGAAAAATGTTTTGAAAATAGGCCTATTGATCAAGTTCATACTTGATGTTACACCACGTGACATTTTAGTCATTAAATTAAAATAATTGTAAAAACTTTATTTTGTTAATGTATGAAACAAGATTACAACCTTTCCAACTTGCCAAATGAGTTTTAACTAGACTTTATTTTTTTTATTTTTGTAACATCAACCTTATTTGTCATTGACCCAACAACACGTGACAAGCTTCTATCTAACCTGTTGTTCGCAAAAAAAAAAAAAAAAAAAAAAAAAAAAAAAAAGAGATCATTAGCATGATGCACAAGTGAGGCACCACTGCCTTAACCAGCCATTCAAATACTAACGTTACTGCTTCTTACCTTTGACTTGAGTCTCGTAATCTGTAATGATCTCTTTTTCCTTTTTAAACTTCACAGGAGGATTCGACATTTTCAATAGTGAATAGTAGTAATATCAATAGTTCAGTTATGATAATGTTTGTAAACTGGCTTATTTTGGGGTCTTTTCCTATTTCCAGGTCGCCCTATAGCGGCAAGTGCATCCCAGAGATTGTTCAAATTGCTCAGGCTGAAAATCCCAAAAGCCAAACCGCGCAAATATTCATAGTCCGAGTTCCGAACGACTCCGCCGTCAATGCTATCAAAACAGAGCGCGCACTGGAAGAGTTTCCTCCCAAACAAGTAACCCTTTCCTTGGGCAAATGTCCACGGTTTGTTCCAGAAAGAGGAAATCCAGCCCTTCAACCTGTCTTTTAGTCACCCGCCGACGGATCTGGACGGACAGAACAGCATAATGACATGTTACACAGGGCTAGCTTGATTTCCAGCACCCTTTCCTCGCGTCCGTGTGACTGATCGCCGGACAGTTTCACGGAATCTGACTGACCTTAAAGCAGCTGGAAAAGCAAGTGGTTGGAAATGGGAGGGATTGGAGGTGGAGGGGGTGCACGTAGCGGAAATGTGGACGGGAACGGGATTGACAACTTTTCTAACCAGTGGTCCCCGCCAGTAATTTTGTTGTCGTTACGACTTAAGCGATTCAAAATATTGCATTTTGATGCTAATAAAATGAAGCAAAACAGTTTGAAAACTTGTTGTGAAATGTGTTTTTGAGATTGATATATGCTACCGCTTCAAATCGTTACAGTCTTGATCCTTTAAAAGTGCATATGATTTATGGTAATGACTTTTAAAGTCGTAAAGTAAGCCTTGTGAATATTTTTATCTGGTTTCAGCAACTCGTTTTAGGAACTCTCAGCAACCCACCAGTGTGGAGATTGTGTGTTGTGTAGGACGCCTAGTGGCCAGTAATGGGAATTACACGAAAATAAATCACTGTGACGACCTGTCTATGGTGACGACTGGGAAAGAAATGAACGAGGGCGATTAAGTTCTGGAATTTAACAGAACAGAATTTCACATTTTTTTAATGACTTTTTTTTTACCCACTTTTTACAGTTTGCACTTGCAACTCGGCTCTAAAAATGCTAAGCAAATAGAAAAGGTTGCAACTTTATTTTATTGGATCAATTATTAATTTAGCCCATCTATTTTTTTTATTATAAAAGACTAACAAAGCCCAAAAGGTAGGTATTGTATACATAATCTGAATATGTGGATAAACTGACTGCAGCTGAAGTCACATAGCGCCTCTTACAGGACAGTTGTTTTGTTGCGAGACTTTTAGAAAATGGTAGAGCCTTTGAATTAATCTTATATCAAAAATCTTTAGGACACAACTATCCCTCTAAACAAATTTCAAGAGTGTGGAAGGCATCACTTCTCAATGAAGATCATATTTTAAACTCTTTGAAACTTTTACCATGCTTTCATCTTTGTTTCTTTCACAGATGCCTTTTATAGAATTTATTGCTCCAGACCGAGATGCTCTGTCTATAAAAATCCATTATAAAAAGATGAATTATTACATGTTTAAAACGACGATGATCTTACCAAAGAGTGGCATAAATATAATAATAATATTTTTCCACATTATATAGATGTGACAATGCTCCAAAATTAAACATTGATTTCCCCACATTCATCTGCTAAAAAATAAAGTTTGAAGTTTATTTATACCTAAACTGTGTGAATTACTATCAAGCACAAAGAGTTGAGTGTACTGTAGGGTAAGTAATTCTAGAAAATATGAATTTGATTTGATTATTTTAATACCATCCCCCACCACCAATTTAATTTTACCTGAAATATATACTGTATAAACAAATAGGAAATATTTTATTTTAAAACAGCAAACAAGTTTGAAAAATAATCAACAAATACATAAAAACATAAGTTGACATTGAAAACAAAAATAAAACTCAAAACTTTTTTATATTCGAATACATACACTTTTACCACTTAATCCTGTTAATGCACATGATATATTAAACTATATATTAAAAATAATATAAGATTGATTAAATAACTAAATAGCAGTAGAATATTATGACTGAAGTAGGAGCAACACAGTGATTCACTTAATACAGTTTGGGAAAGTTTTTAGATTCACTAAAAAGAACCGGATCATAACCATCATTACTTTGGGAATCAGACTACATTAGTCGCTCTGTTTGTTTCTGATTCAAACATGTTAGTACATTAATACACGAATGTAGTTATGTATACAGTTTTAAACTTAAAGATTAAAAAAAAAAAAAAATCACCAAAATGACCGAAACACTGTCACTGGTAATTCATGGTAATGTCCTAGCAAATACAACAACCAGTTTAGTTAAACATTTTTGTAACTTTTATTTTAAGTGTACGTGACATCCACTCCAGCAATGTATGCAAGACTAAATGCTTGCTAAATAAAGATCAGGCAGGTTCAAAGTAAAATAAATGCTGAAAGCAAAAGACACCTTCAAGAAAAGAAAAAAATGAAATTTTATCAATGTTAAATATCTGTTTACATAACCCAGCTAGGTTACAACATAAAAACTTTGCACTGTTATTTCAATTGACTTAATAAATTAATATTTTACAGTAAACATGGAGGGCATTAATGCACAGCAGCATATGGTGAACCATGTTATATTATAACATACAGTAGCATGTTTTAATTCACATGTATAAAAACAACTAAACAACACGTAAAACACCAAATGAATGAACGGCTCTAAAAATAAGTGACAAGACAAACGAAAATGGATGTTGATGCATAGCATCTGCTCGCTGTCTTTAATTCTTTATGTGGGACTGTATTAATGTTCTCCAAACTAGGAGTTTTTGAAAAAGGCTTCCTCCAATACCTCTGTGAATTTGTCCTTCGTCTGTTGACGAAAGCCACTGTACCACTCCAGCAGTCTCATCCTCCTCTCTGTTTTTTCTTTCTGGTTCATCCCTCTCTCCCTCTCCAGGATGGCAGGCAGCTCCCTCCAGTCCTTGAGGAAGATGAAGGGTGCTCCTGCATCTTTAAGCAGTCGGAGCGGGGACCGGTTACCAACTGCACAGGCCCCCGGAGTGAGGACGTCCTCCACCACGGGCACAGAGCCATAGGCACAGGCTTCGTAGATGCGGTAGCACTCTGTGTTCACTCCCACCGGACAAAGAGTGAGGTCACTTTGTGCTAACGCCATCTGGTACTGTCTGGAGGTGTCTGCAGTCTCTTGAGGAAGCCACCTGATGACACAAAATGATAGAAGTATAAAAAAAACTTGCACAATTTAGAAATGTTTGGGATATTATTTATTGAAGAAATTTAAGGATTTATGGGCAAAACAGAAACATTATAAAAATGTGTATTGGCAAAAAAAAAAACAATTATTAACTGATCATCTGACATAAATATAATGCTCACCAAGGCTGCATTTATTTGATCAAAAATACAGCAAAAACAGTAATAATGTGAATGTATTATTACAATTTCATATTTTATTATATAGTTCAGAATGTCATTTATTTCTGTGATGGAGAGCTGTATTTTCAGCATCATTACTCCACTCTTCAGTGTCACATGATCCTTCAGAAATCATTCTAATATGCTGATTTGCTGCTCAAGAAACATTAATCAGTTGAAAACAGTTGCTTCATACTTTTGTGGAAACAGTAACAATTTTTTTTCCCGGATTTTATTGATGAATAGAAAGTTCAAAAGAACAGCATTTATTTGAAATAGTCATTTTTTGTAACATTATAAATATCTTTTGATCAATTTAATATATCCTTTCTGAATTAAATTAATCATTTCTTTCTTTTAAAATCTTACTGGCTATGAACTTTTTAATGGTAGCGTAAGTATTTTACAACTTCACTTATCCGCCAATTTTGTGAATGCAAATGATATAAAATCAGACTGATGAAATTTTCCCAGAAATACGTACTTCTCTCTAACATGCATGAGGCAATCTTTCTCCATGCCGCTCTGCTTTAGGACGCCCATCAGAGTTTCCCTGGATGAGTTTTTGTAGATAGTCCCAAGAAAGTTGCAGAGGTATGGTCTTACAGTTTTCACCATCTGACCGCTAAGTGTGACTACTGGGAAATGCCTGTATCTGCAGAGAAAGAAAAAGCACATTATAAACAAATAAACTGAAGTTAATTGAAATTATATACAAGTATAACATAAAAATATTACAGAAAGTCCTCTTTCAAATATAATAAAATATTAAATAAAAGTAATTATAAAAAAATACACTAAGCGCTTACGTGGCAACACCCAGGGGCCACTGAAAGATGTCTTTATCGTTGACCCAAAGACTGTCGTACACAAGAAAGAGCAGGTCCACAAACCCGCCGTGCCTCTTAAGGTAAGGACTGATCCAGTCATTATTACACCGCTCGTTGCCCAAAAGGACTACAGCAACCCGAGAGACAGTGCGGGCCTGCACCAGACCCTGGACATGCTGGAGCCACTGGATGGAGTAGGAGATTTTCTGCTGCTCACGGCCATTCAAAACCAACACCACACTGTCTGTGTCCAGAGAAACATGCCCTTGGACCACTGCTGGCCCTGTGTAGAAACTGAGGACAGATTATGATTAAAGAGATTAAAGAATTGTGGTTTCTGAAAATGCAAAACAATGCTTTACTTACAATAAAAATATATATAATTATAAATTTTGTATTTAATCTGTCTTTAAGTAAAATTTCTGTATTGATATTGAAGGGTATGAGGTCAAAACAGACACATTATGAGAATGTGTACTACTGACTAAAAAATGTTAATACATTCTTATTAACTGATTAGCTAACATAACTTATACTACCACCGCTCAAAAGTTTGGGGGCGCTAAGATTTTTTTTATGATTTTTGAGAGAGGCCTCTTGTGTATTGTGTCTCTAAGCTTGTTGTTTCTGTCAAAGAATAAATAATTGAGAATTTTTATCTCACAATTCGGACTTTCTTGCAATTGCAAGTTTGTACCTCACAATTCAGACTTTATAACTCGCAATTCCAAGTTTACATCTCACATTTCTGAGGGGAAAAAAGGTCAGAATCGCGAGATAGAAAATCGGAATTTGGAGAAATAAAGTCTGAATTGTGAGTTATAAACTAGCAATTGCGGGAAAAAAAGTATTGTGAGTTGTATTTTTCTCTTATCAAGCTTCCATACTCATGCTCACCAAAGCTGAACTTATTTAAAGGGGTCGTGACATGAGAAATCGAATTTGCCATGATCTTTTGACATATAAGAGGCCTTTGTTTGTACCATTAAAACATCCGGCAAGTTTCATAGTTTAAATGTCATTGTCCTCCTCATTATAAACAAAGCATATATTTAATCAAGCTCCAAAAATGTCTCGTTTTGATATTGCGGGATCTGTAATGTCACATAGGCAAATACATTTGCAAATGACTGGTTTTAAAGCAAAACATCAATGAATAGTTTTATATAATCGCACAATAGGCCCCAACCACTGGCATTACACTGAATGCAAGCGTTGCGTCATCCCGCCTCAAAAGCAAACGGAACCCATTATAATCACTGACACTGTCTACACTGGATACAGTTTACAGATGCGTGTTCAGTTCCTGACATACCCCACACACTTGAGTCTGTCGACACGACAAAAGGACAAATGGAAGAGTGAAAGAATGTTCGCTTTGACGCGTCCAGTTTAAACAGCTCATTTGTGCTTTTGTACCGACTTCGGAAGGATCCCAGTGTCGGAAACATAAATGGTTTATTTTAGTGGCGTCCCGGATCGCGTTGAAGGAATGTTTGTTTGTTCAGAGCCTTTTGTTTTGTAAACGAGGAACAGTGTAATGGAGAGTTCGCAAAGAAACTTTTGTTGAAAGATGAAGCAGTCAGCTGTATTGTATCTGACAGCAGCTGCATCACAAACCCCAAGTAAATGATTTCTTTATACTTTGTCTGTAAATGATGGTTTTACATGGATAATGTTTTTAAAATACTTACTCATGACGTGCAATAGCGAGTGGGCGTTGATTTCAATGATGTTAGCCAATCATAAAAGTGGCCGTTTACTGACAAGCCCTAAAGGTGCCGCACTTAAAAACTGATCATTTCAGACAAAGGTTTAGAATGAAGGTTGAAAATAATTGTTTTTCTGCATGTATATTTGTTTGTTTTTCTGTGCAAAAAAAAAAACATTATTAACATTATAAGTAAACCTCAAGGAATATATTAAAATAATAACAAAAATCCATGACCCCTTTAATAAAATTAAATGCTGTAAAAAAACAGCAATATTGTGAACTAATATTAGGATTTTTTTCTATTTTAATAATTTTACATTTTAATTAATTCCTGTGATGGCAAAGCTGAATTTCAGTATTTTCATTTGAATTTTAGAACAGCATTTATTTGAAATAGGAATCGTTTGCAACATTATAAAAGTCTTTACTGTCGCATTTGATCAATTTAATGCATGAATACCTGAAATTGATCTTCCCAGACTGAATCTCTCCTTCTCTCCATTGGCTGGATTTGTCCGCTGGGATAAGAGGCCCTTCTAAAATATGTTCCCACAAATAAAGTCCTATGAAAATGTGAAGAAGGGACAATATTTAATAATTATGTTCTCTAATAATGCAAAAATAATAATAATAATAACATATATATATATACATACATACATAAATATACAGTATATCAAGACACAACAAGAAATGCAATGATCTTTGGAACCAACAAACATATTACACTTGCCAATGGCTGCTTTGCCCCAGATCTGAACTTTATATGTTTTTGGCCTGATTTTAGCAACATGATCTTGATATGATCTGAAGGCATTTCTTCGTTTTTGCAGAACTAATGAGTGTGCACGCTCATCCTCTTCCCATGGGTTCCACTCTTCCTCTCCTGCTTTTCCATTATCTGGAAACACACGAAGTTACATTTTATTAAACAAATCTATTGTTTACATGCGATCATAAATGTATATGCTTTTATTGCATGTACGCTATATTACATTGTTTTTCTATTATAACAAACCCATTAGATTATGCTGGTTATGATTTATTATCTTACCTAAAATCACAGTGCCCTTTTTCACTACTCGATGAACGCGAGAAATAACCCTCTTGCTGAAAAACACATTATACGCGGCGTACAGTGAAAATATCGCATAAGCCAAAACAACTATGATCGCTATTTTCCGGCGAAAGAATCTCATGTTTGATTTTCAGGTGACCATCCTGCGGATACCGACCAGTGTGTACGAGAAATGTTCAGTTTTTGAAAGAAATTGTTCACGTTAGAACGATTCGTTCACGAAGATTCATTCAGCGGGATAGCTGGTGGGTGAGCTGAGAAAATTTGGATGAAACACTAAAACTGTTCGAATGAACCGATTCGCACAATTGAGTCCAACGTCTCGTCACTACTGTTTACATTTTCCCGAGACTGCCTTGTACTTGCCTGTTCGAAATGACAACATTATCAAAAAAGTTTAAACATTTTAACAAATACTGTGAAAACTACATGCAGCACTAATTAAAATATGTATTGTATTTACCATTTAAATAGCTTAATTGAAGGATTTGTTTTATAATTTCTGTATTACAATGCGCTTTCCGTTCAGTCAATCTCCGGTCGACTATGACGTGCTTGAAGGAGGAGCTTCCGCTGTTCAAGCTCTCTCTCTTCAGAGGTCGGTGTGACCGTACGAGTTGTCAGGATCCTTCCTAACTAGTCAAAAATGATGTCCCTGGTCGCTCGTTTGGGGACTTTGTCCCCTTACCTGCAGGCTTGTGGTCCGCTGAAAACATTAGTACCCGGAGCAGTGAACAAAGAAGTGCTGATGAAGTGTGCTGCGAGCGGTAGGTGATCATATAACGTGGTCATGTTAGTTAACAGGCTGGTCAGACTCTTCACATTCGGTCATGACATCCGAAATAATGTTATAAACGTAAAAGGTCTAAATAAGATGGCTCCTTCTAATACAACAATTAATACACAATTCATTATGTGTGTGTATATAAACTGTATGTATGTGTGTACATATACTGTATGTATATATATATATATATACACACACATGCATAATATATATATATATATATATATATATATATATATACACAGTACACATACATTATATATATATATATATATATATATATATATATATATGTGTGTGTGTGTGTATGTGTTATATATAAATTATAAATCTAACTGATGCAGTGTGCAGCTAATATTTATTTATTTTAAACAATCATGTCAGGTATCCATGGCCATATTCTAGAATGACAATGCCAAGATTCATCTGGCTCAAATTGTGAAGGAATGGTTCAGGGAGCATGAGGAATCATTTTCACACATTTGCCACCACAGAGTCCTGACCTTAACCCCATTGAAAGTCTTTGGGATGTGCTGAAGTAGACTTTACTGTCCCACTGTCAATACAAGATCTCAGACCAAAATGAATGCAACTCTTGATGAATGTTAGGGACTGGCAGCCGCAGTCACCGTTCACTTTCATTGGATCTTTTCTTCCATTCAATGAAAGTTAACATCTCTTATGTTAAACAGAAGAAAGAAAGATGTTTTAGTGTAACAATCCCTTTTAAGTGTGTCCAATGACTATTGTTTTATCTCCTTTTAGGCCATTTTGGAGCACGTCTCGCTCACACAGACATCAAAATCCCTGACTTCTCTGACTATCGGCGTGCTGAGGTGTTGGATCCTAAGGCGTCCTCTCAGGAGAGCAGTGAAACTAGACGGTCCTTCTCTTACTTGGTGACCGGAGCCACTGCTGTGTTGGGTGTCTATACTGCCAAGACGGTTGTGACCCAATTCATTTCCTCAATGAGTGCCTCTGCTGACGTCCTGGCCCTGTCCAAAATCGAGGTCAAGCTGTCTGATATCCCAGAAGGGAAAAACATGACCTTCAAGTGGAGAGGCAAGCCTCTGTTTGTTCGTCACAGAACAGAGAAGGAGATCGCAGCTGAGGAGAGTGTAGACCTTTCGGAGCTCCGAGACCCCCAGCATGACAAAGATCGCGTCAGCAACCCCACCTGGGTCATCGTTATTGGTGTCTGCACTCATCTCGGCTGTGTCCCAATCGCAAATGCCGGTGATTACGGCGGGTACTACTGCCCCTGCCATGGGTCACATTACGATGCTTCAGGAAGGATCAGAAAAGGTCCCGCACCTCTCAACTTGGAGGTGCCTTATTATGAATTCCCTGATGAGGAAACTGTAATTGTTGGATAGGATAAACAATGGACATTTTCTCTGTATGCTTTTAATCTGTCTGGCCAAATCTAACTATTAATAAATATATATTTTAAAGCAACCAAAATCTATGTTTTTGAGTCTTTTGACTAGGCATGCAAGTATTGGTTACAAATTAACAAACAGATTTCTGTCAGAGTCAGACCAAAACAAATTTAATTAAATAACTTTAAAAAGGCATTCATTCAATAATATAATTTCCATATGTTCCATAATGCACACTCCTAAGTGTTCTAAAAATAAACCACACAATATGCCCGTATCATTTCAAAGAACAAACAGTGCTTGACAGATTTAAAAGTACTATATAAATTAAATAAAAACATGATTATATGCCAGTTTCAACTACAGTACCCAAGCATTCAGTCAAACAATCCCTATAACACATTTTTTTAATGTGTCTGGCTTAATCTATAAACTAATAAATATATATTTTAAAGCAGCTAGCATTATGTTAAGGCTTTTGACTGGGCATGCGAATATTGGTTACAAATTAACATGGAGGTCTATTAAACAAACAAAAAAGTGTAAATACATTTTTAAAAAGGCATTAATTCAACAATATCATCCACATATGCACAGTCTTCCTAAGTGTTCTGAAAATAAACTACACATTATGCCAGGAAATTATTTCATATACAGTGCTTGTCAGATTTGTCAGCTTGTCAGCATCCAATCAAACAACCCATATGACATGATTATAAAGTTTGAAATGTTTTTGGTTTTTGAGAAGATAGTGTCAGTCAACATAATGCACTTCAGCTTGAAGTTCCTTCTGTATATAGCTCAGAAGAGCAGCAGTTACCTGCTGCTGAAGTGTGGCATTTCCCATTACAAGGGCAGTCAGCTGTGCAACATCAGTCCAGGTTATTGAGCCTAAGACAGCTGCAATATCCTGACAGAGTCTGTGCTGCTGGTCTGGTGTCAGTTCCATGATAACCTGGGGAAGAGGTTTAAATTGTCCGCTTGTCATCCAGCATCCAAGCAGTCCTCCAACAGCCCCGCCTTAAAAACACAAAGGTACAGGTAAGAAAAACATCACATACTATATATATATGAGGTTTACACCTGTACTAAAAGCATTAATGTACTTGCCCACTGCAATTCCCAGAGGACCGCCTATTAAGCCTCCTGCAAAAGCAAGACCACCAGCTGCCGCTGCTCCTTTTCCAGACTGCTTCACTGCGGTTTTCACTTGTTGATTTGCGGATAGTTCACAACACAGTTTCATTACGTCATCAACACGTGGCGGCATCTTGCTTGGAAAGATTACAGTGTAACTCTAACGTGAATGACCAATGAAAACTTTAGAATCGGCTGCAGGGCGGGATATCCACTGAAGTGGTTTGGGAGAAAAAAAAAATCACGCAAAACAAATAAGTGTGACTACATATTAAAATCCATTATAAAATGCGTTATATTGTCATATACATACATACATACATAGAGAGAGGGAGAGAGGGAGAGAGGGAGAGGGGAGGGGGGGAGGGATAGAATAGAGCATTACACTTTACTGTATAAAACGTTGTCTAAAGGACACATACATAAATAAATTAAGTGCTGTACACTCACCGTCAAAAGCAACTTTTCGATTCCCTAATGAAAGTATATAACCGACACTGGCATCAACCTTTTATTTATCTGGTGACCAACGTCAAACTATCAAACACCAACGAGCGATAGGTCATGATTTTTTTAAGTGTGAAGCTAAGCTAGAAATACATTTTTCAAAATAAAACACCTTCCCAGATTGTATGCAAAAAATGTATGCCAAGTTTTAAAAGTTAGAATATTACAATACACGTTAAATTGAGATTTAATTTAAACAGCGAACTCTGCTTGTCCTTTAACTTACCAGTGAATGAAAAGAAATGCATATACGATATATTTAAATATTTATACACATTTAGATATTTAATTTTGGGTAATCAGAACGTTTTTATTTATTTGGTTATTTTTATTTTTATTTTATTTTTATAAACTCAGCAAAAAAATATATACATTTTCATGTTGATCTAAATGTTACTTTTAGCTGATGACGGGATGTTCTCTTATTTTGAAAAGTTTCTTGATCGGTTCGTTTTTTTAAAACATCACACAGTCAACAATTTCTGTTTTCACATAAATAATTGCACTGAGCTAATGACTGACCTGTATTGCTGATCAAGATTGAATTATTCCGTGATATATCTAACTTTGATGTTATATAAGTATAAGTACACTGTTCCGCCATCTACTTCCTAAACGTGCCCGGACATGTCTAGCAAAATTTGACTTTTAAATGGAGCTCATCATCATCTCCGCAGAGGCAATGATTGGATGTTTCCTGCATGCAGCAGCTCACAACAGATGCTCTGCAAAGAAAACAGCTGATGCTTGGACATCATGACAGTGCTGGAGACTGAAACTGCTGCTTTTGCTGGAATGAGTGAAAACCTGTGGTTGGAGAAAGCCTGCTCTATCCTTATTCCTGCTTTACCATTATGGATCATTGAATATGCATGGACTAAACAGATGATGGAGGTCTTAGAAGGTGTTTCTTACAATGTCTTTTTTTTATTACCCACACAAATCTGCATGTTAAAAACCTGTAATTTATATCAAATTATGATATTGATAAGTGTATAATGTATTGAATCAATGTCTTTGCAGTGTAAATACACTGCTTTATTTTTATCATAAATTGACTGCACAGTTGGTGCAAATGCTACAAAAATAATAGATCTAACTGAATCAAGTTTAAAATGAATGAATGGGTAGGCTTGTCACAATCAAGAATTTTGTTCTGACGATTAATTGACAGTGTAAGTACATACAGAATCAAATATTACTTAATATAATAAAATATAATAAAGTGGGCTCGTTTACCTTAATCCTGTTAACACCCAGATATCAAATGTACCCAGAACCGATTTGATTCTGGGCCAAATCTGGTTGAGTTTCTGCAAATTTGTCCCACTGACCACATTGAAATACGGCAGACCAAAGAAGCAGACCAAAACTTACCCACATTGTCTTCCATGTCCCCAGAAATCAACCATAACTGGCCCCATTACAGTGGCAGAATAAAAGATGCATATTTAATTCTTTAAATATTATAATATTTAAAGAATGAATCATTTATAGTAACATATATAATGCAGTCTGATTAAACCCACAAAAGTTCATTTGGTATAAATATCTTTGTGTACTATATAAATTATTTTATTCTTTCACTGGAAAAGGAGACATGATATTGTGCATTTTTATGGCATTTCTTGAAGCGCTTAAATTTCTTTGATTTGGATGTCAGAATGTGATTGAAATTTAAACTAGACAATTATTGAGGTTATCTCAAATAATTGCGATTAGGTCGAATAATCACGATCAGACGATTCATCAATAATCGAGACAGGCCTATGAATGGGAGATCTAATCAACTTTTACTTTTTTCAGTTCTAGGTCCTCCATTATGGCTAGAAGGTGACTGGCATCTTCTGACCCTTGAAGAGCCGTGCAGAATCCGTGTGGTAGCGGCAGAGGTCTGGAGGATCGTTCAAGCCCGAGACATCAAGCACTTTGAGAGAGTCATTGAGTTTTTAGATGTTACATACACACTTGTGCCACGACTAGTGACTCCCATCAAACACATGAAGATCATGTTTGGTCTGCAGACACTGGTGAGACTTTTTTTCTTTGATAACAAATATAAATCAACCCATCAGTTCACCCAAAAGTGATTATTTACTCACCCTTATGTTGTTCCAAACCTGTATGAGTTTCTTTCTTCTGTTGAACACAAAAGAAGATATTTTGAAGAATGTTGGTAACCAGACAGTTCACGTGCTCGCTTTCGGGTAAAGCTTTCCGTGACTGCACAACTGGGTTGTAGGTTGCCAGGTTGAGATGACAAACTGGTTGAAATTGTATATGGTGTGTGGATTGTGTGAATATAATGCATTTAATACAAGATCTGGCAACTGGTCAACATTAGACAAACATATTGGTCCGATTATTCATAAAGGAGTTTGGGCCATGCAAATTACGGGAGTTTCCCGGGAGAAATAACAAAGCGAGAGGGGTCCGGTAGATAGGGCTAAAAAACGGGAGAAACACGGGAAAAACGGGAGTGTTGACAGGTATGAGGTAGGGAACAACATAAGGGTGAGCATATTTTTGGGTGAACTGTGCCTTTAACTTGCTGTCATGTATATGTAGTTTTCAAATTGTATAAATATGAAGTTGTTTGCCTTTGCATAGCTGCATTACAATTCACAAGCTTTTTTTGTTTTGTTTTAGGCTGTCATGTGGATGTTGTGGAATGACCAGAGTACTGCTAAAATCTCTGACAAGATCAAAAACTTTTTCCCTAACAGCCTGCCCGAGTATCACAAATGTGTAAGTATAATGTTCCTCCACCAGGGGCCACCACAAATACATAAAAAGCCAAAGTGTGAAGTGTAATGGAAAAAAATGTCTTCAACATTTAAAATAGTTTTTAGGACTACTGGGCTTTTTAAGACGTTCCTTTGTTTTTTCTTAAATCATGCTTCTAGAGCCGCAGAAACATGGATCTGATGCAGAAAAACCAGAAGGATTTCAAGTCCTTTGCTCATTGTCTGGCAAGAGACAGGGACATGCGCGAGACTTATATTCGGGTTAGTGAAGATGGCCTGCTGTCTTAAAAAAATGTTATGAAATACTTTGAATGGCACATTACGTATATCAGCACTAGTTTGCATCAATTTCAGATCTTTAAATAAAATGTGACCATTTGAACTTTGCAGGATTTAATGGAGGAACAATACGGTGAACGGTATGCACAGAAACTGGAGGAGAGACTCTCACACTATTTGAGAGAGCTGGATAAAGTCCTACCACAACCTACACATATTGAACAGGTTAGTGTTTATGTACATTTGTATCTACAGTTGCGGCTTCTACTATTGAGTTGTTTTTAAGACGGGCATTGCTATTTTTTGTACTTATTTCTTTGTGCTATTATTTTTCTAAAAATAATAGTGCACAAATTGTTGCTGACATACAGGTGAAAAAAAAAATTCCAACCACTTACATACATCTGTAAAATATATTGGTTAAATATCAAGTCAGGGTTCCTGTGGGTCCTTGAAAAGTCTTGAAATTAGTTTGATAAAAAAAGGCATAAAGTGCCTTAAAAATCTTAAATTGTATAACAAAGTTATAATTTTAAAGGGTTCTTAACTTTGGGAATGTAAAAACACACTTTAAACTTTGGAATCAGCTGCTGAAAGTAGTAAAGCATAGATATTTCAAAATAAGAGTACCAATGCATTTTCGGGCTTGTAGTTAAAATTCCCACATTATGCTTTTTTTTTTTCTTTTTTTTTTTTTCAATATTATTGGTATCTGCCATTAACTTCAATGTAAACTCTTGTGGTTTCTCTTTGGGCTGCCTAAGTGCTTATCACAGGAAGGAAAGACTAAGAAAACTAATTTAACACACTTAAAATATAGATTTTACTAGTATCAGCCTAATAATCTGTTTATTGCCTTTCTTTAAATACATTATTATTGTATCTAATCTGTCCACATTTGCATATGAATGTGTCCAGGTATTGAAGCAGTCCCATCCGTATGGGAGGGGAGAGAAGATCCTGAAAAAATTACTTTCAAGGGATAGTGCGTCTCTAGCCACAGTTTTAAAGAGGCTCCTATATGGTGGTGAGGAATATGGTTTTGGCTTGGAAATTGTCATATCAGCTTTGAAAGTTTGAGTTTTTTTAATTTTCATTGGCATTTTCTCTATATTGCAGCTGTAACAACAAATCAGAGCCTTGATGATGACAGTATCACACCATCACCTTCAAACACTTGTGAGGAACCAAGGGACGATAAAGTTGTTAAACCATCCCATGATACCCTCCATGTAATTTTGAGGCCATCTCAGATCAGCTCAAAGGAGGAACGATTCTCACAAACCAGCACAAAAGAGCTCTTTAGTTCCCAAGGCTTGTGGCAGAATAGAAACACAGAAATCATTTTACCTCAGGAGGAAATTTGTAGTGATGGAGAAATTGTTACGTCCACACAGTTGTCAGGTTCGGAAATAAATCAGATTGACTTTAGCCAATCTCTTCTGGTGAAGAAGGACCTGATTCGGAGGCACAGACAGGCGAAGACTCAATCTGAACCAGAACAGAAGGAAGGTGAGGCTGGTTTTCCAGAGCAGATGTGCACCAGACATGGCAAAAAAATGAGGAGCATCCTTCAGGAATGTTCTGAAGAGCTTGATGGAGAAGCTGTACAGGCAGAATGCACTCCCACATCAACCCAAAGCACTCCACCTCTTTTCCCACACACACCAGAACCTCAAGCATCTTCAAACCAGCACCCGTTGTCCTCAAACCCTGATTCATCCTCTACGAACATTTCAATGTCTTACATGCAGCAGGTCAGTCTTACACCAGTGTCAAAGAAACCAGTTGTTCCTTCACCTTCTTCAGTCCACCAACAGTCCTCATCATCACCTCAGTCCACAGCTTCAAAGCAACTTGGCACCCCAAGAATCAATGCAGGACAGATGTTAGCTACTGTTGTCTTCACCGAACCAAGCAGAACCAGTGAACACAATCTGAAACTGTCCTTAGAGACTCAAAGCTTCCTCATGCAGTCCAAGTGGCTTCAACCTCAAGTGTGCCTTAATAGACTGAGCAAGGAAGAGTGCGCCAGAGCCAAAAATTCATACAGTTTAGAAAGAGAACAAGCGGCTGAACATGATCAATACGTGTTATTTGATGTAAATACACTGTATTCTGATTCATACTCTGAAGATTCAGACTCAACAGACTCTGATGACCCTGATTACAAGCCTAAAGGAAACTAAAACAGAGGACACCAAAGAAAAATTGCCAGTGAACGTGATCTTCATCATGTTTTGCAAATGCATAGGTACTCAAACATCTGTTTTAGCAGGTTCTCAAAAATCCATTTTTAGCAGATTATGTTTGAATGTTTGAAAAAAATTGAACTAGGGTTGGAGAAATACGTAGCTTTTTTACCTTTCCTCATACCTGAGTTCATCCTCTACGAACATTTCGATGTCTTACATGCAGCAGGTCAGTTTTTAACCAGTGTTCTCAAAGAAACCAGTTGCTCCTTCACCTTCAGTCCACCAACAGTCCTCATCATCACCCAAGAATCAATGCAGGACAGAGTTTACCTACTGTTGTCTTCACCGAACCAGTGAAAACATTCTAAAAAAAAATGTCCTAAGAGAGTCAAAGCTTCCTCATGCAGTCCAAGTGGCTTCAAACTCAAGTGTGCCTTAATAGACTGAGCCAGGAAGAGTGCGCCAGAGCCACAAATTCATACAGAACCCTTGACATTTTAGAAGGAGAAAAAGATGCAGAACGTCAATATGTCTTATTTGATGTAAATAAATACTGTATTCTGCTTCATACTCAGAAGATTCAGACTCAGCAGACTCTGATGACCCTAATTTCATGCCTAACTAAAACTTAGGTGCCAGTGATAACATGTTTTTCAGATGCGTAGGTACTCAAACATCGATTTTAGCAGGTTACGTCGGTTTACGTCATGAAGGTCAAAGTGTTTGCTTTAAAGCTATTGAGTGGCAATGCCAAAATATTTATATCCTGGTGACTCCTGTATGTTTTTCTTTTCTTTTCTTTGTGATTAGTCATTTGCCCTGATTGCCCTGAAGGTCCTATGAAGTGAGTATATCTAAAACCACATGGTTTCCCATGTGCTGTTGGTTTAGTGACGCATTTGGTGGGTCAAGGTTATCTCTGGATGGTGTTTCGATAGTGGATAGATGTTGACATGGTTCGTTGATTGACTTGGAAGGGTTGTGTAAGGACAAACATTTTGAAATATGATGCGAGTTAAGTGCACCCTTAATTCACTGCAAAAAAAAAAATGCTTTTCTTATCTAGTTTTTTCGTCTTGTTTCCAGTCCAAATATCTAAAAAATTCTTAGATTAAGATGCATTTACTATACAAGTAAAATGACAAGATATTATGTCTTGTTTTCTGAAAAAATCTAAAATTAAGTGAGTTTTTGCTTTAAACAAGCAAAATTATCTGCAAATGGGGTAAGAAATCCGTTTGGAATAATATTTTTTTTCTTAGCCCGTTGGCAGATAATTTTGCTTGTTTTAAGCAAAAACTCTCTTTATTTATTTATTTATTTATTTTTCAGAAAACAAGACATTACCTTATGCCGTTTTACTTAGCTAGTACATTTTTTGATATTTAGACTGGAATCAAGACAAAAATACTATGTAAAAAAAAAAGAAGAGCATTTTTTGCAGTGTTTACCTAGAATGTCATGGGTTGCGTTGACCGTACTTTCAATTTAGATGGCTCATCAGGGCAGATAAGTGTTTTAAGGTTTATCTTAGACTCACTAATTCAGTGTTGATGTGTACGTGTTTTCTTTTTTAATAGGTTGTTATGCCAAGTAAAAAAAAACATTAAAGAGAGTTGTGGGTTTAAAGTTCAAGGTTTTTGCAGTGTAAAACTGCCCATTCTAACGTTTGTTTACCTGCCTTAAATGTAAACTTCTTGCAAACTACTTTTCATGTCATTATTGCATCAGATAGCGCAGTCAGACATGCTGTCTAATTTACCATTTGAGGTAGATTAAAAAAGCATCTAATACCTGTGTTTTGGGAAATTATTGTTTAAGCTTGAAAGGGTTAAGTGAATCATCTAAGTGACAGCTTTTTCTTATTTATTTTCTAACCATATGACATTTTATTAAAGGGATAGTTCACCCAAAATGAAAATTTTGTCATTATTTACCTCATGTTCCAAACCCTTTTGACTTTGTTTACTTTATGTGAAACACAAAAATAAAATGTGATTGTCACTCTTTAGTTACACTGAATTGGAATTGGAGCTTTCCAAATGAACTGTGTTTTGAATGATTGATCGAGCTTACAAAACCAGTTTGTTGAAAAGATTCCAAACAAGTTGTTTTATCTTTTAACTACACATCGCATTAATAGAAAAACAAGACATAACACCAATGTGCTAAATGTTTATTGGAGCATTTGCATTATGGTGGGGGGTATAAAAAAAAACTTCACAAAGAAGTTTGATTTATCCATATTGGATAGCTGGCAAAAGGCTTTGCACATAATAATAATAATTTTAGCTGCATAATAGCGGAATGGTCTTAGTTGCAGTGTTGGCACTAATAAAACCACTCCAGCCCCCCTAAAAAATGTGGACTTGACTTATGTAAGACACATGTGGCAATCAGGCCCTTTCATTCTCATTACAGCTGTAGAGAATACTCTTCAAATGATTCTTGATGATATGAGAACATTATCGGGATTCTGAAAAATACTAGTGTTAAACCTATAAACTGGTATTTGTTTCTCACATTTGTAATTGACATAAATGCACCCTGGAAACCGGTGCGACAAATAATATATATATATTTTTATTATTATTATTATTATTATTAAGTTAGGCAGTAATATACACCTGAAAGAAAAAAGTCGATAAGCGCCATGTGCATTTCTCTAACTGTGTTTGCACTCCATGCGCGTTTACGCACCAGATCGCGTGCATAGATCCTGTGCATCACCGCAGCTTATAGAAAGAGGAGGAGGTTAAACCCCAAAACTACATAATTTTAGACTTATTATGTAACGGGGGAGTTTTGGACTGCCCTCAGTCTCCACCAATGAAAATATGGACAAGGTTCAACACCCATTGTGGGGGTTCTGTATAAATTCGGTCTATGCATCAATCTATGCACATATTTACCTATTTATCTCATTCCCAGCCATTGGAGCGTGATTTTTTATAAAAAGCTGCTTAATAAGGTATTTATGTTACATTTGTAGGCCTATATTGATTTTAAAACTACCATATATTGACCTATTCGTTTTTATTATTATTATAAATTTAGTGTTTAAAATACATACAAAATGATTAGGCTATTGTTGTTTTTTTGCATAATTATTTTAAACAGAAGTTTCAATAGGCCTATTACTTTTTGATATTTTAGATTGTGTCACATCAATACAATTCTGCAGTCATATAGCCTATTAATCAGATTATTTAGAATAGTATTTTTTTTTTCATATTTGCATTCTGGTGTTTGTCTTATTTCTGTAGTTTCTCTCAGTAAATTTCGCAGCAATTTTTTTTTTAACCAAGCTCTATTTTAGTGGTTGCTGAAACATTTGTTAAAATTCACACTTATGTAAGTAAATAAAGTAAGTCAAATAATAATAATAATAATTAAATAAAATACAACATTTTGTTTTTCTCGTCAGTCCGAGCCCTAGCCTAAACGTAAAAAAAAATTATAAGTAGGCCTATTCGTTAACATATTTTAGGCTACTCTTTCAATGTCATATTTTTCATTCCTTAGACGTCATCTTTCTCAAAAGTGTATAGACCAAGAAAATGTCTTTTGTGGTAAAAATGAACGGAGCCCTGAACGATGGCATCCACAGCAATGGAATGAACGGGAACGGTGTGCATCATTTGAGCGTCCGGACTCATGTGAGTGTTAACCCAGCCAAACTGAAGAGCAACCGGTCGAGATGGAACGTCAGACCCTCAGAGATGTCCAAGAAAACACTCAACCCCATCCGAGCCATAGTGGACGGGATGAAACTCACTCCCAACCCCGAGAAACCCATGATTGCTCTATCTATTGGTAAGTTATGCGTCAACTACAAATGCATCCATAATAGTGTGATCCAGTGTTTAAAAAATGGATGATGCTTAGCTATAGAGAAACAGCGACTTGTTTGTAAGGTGTTCTTAGTTTGCCATTTTATTTAGCCTATACTCGTATTATTTTACGTTTTGGATTTCATGACATGCTTAATGTTTGTTTGTTTGTTTGTTTTCTTGTCTCGTTTAACTTGTATCCTTTGCATGACTCGTTTTGTGGAAAAATGAAATGTAAATCTATGCTTCGGACCTCCCCCAGGTGACCCTACTGTGTTTGGGAACTTGCCAACAGATGACACTGTTTTGCAGGCAATGAAGGAGGCCATTGACTCACACAAATTCAATGGCTATGCTCCTTCAGTTGGTAAGATTTACACTTTTGTGTGTGTGTGTGTGTACTGTAAGTTAATTGCTGAATTTTGTATGCAACAATAAAATATTCCTTTAATGCTTTTCATTCTGATAAAAAATGTATTATGCTTTGAGCTTCATGAAAAATAATTTTCGCATTTTGAATAACATTGACAGGTTACCAAAAGAGCAGAGACGCTGTTGCAAACTTCTACAGCTGTCCAGAAGCTCCGCTGGAAGGCAAAGTGCGTCACATCCGTCATGATTATTTTATCATTTAGATTTATCTAGTTTATCAGTACATTTTATTCCAAAGTATATTTCATAGCTACAGGATGTTTACATAGTTTTCATATAATGCTTTTGTAAATAGATGACGAGTAAAAATTCATAATTTTTTAATATATATATGTATATCATTCTGTAGGATGTGATCTTAGCCAGTGGATGTAGCCAGGCTATCGAATTGGCCATCAGCGTGTTGTGTAACCCAGGGGACAATATCTTAATTCCTTGTCCTGGATTCTCCCTATATAAGACACTGGCAGTGTCTATGGGAATCCAAGTGAAGCACTACAATCTTCTGGTGAGTAAATCACACAGACAAAGTCCATCATCAGATGCACATGTAGTCTGAAAACATGAAACAAATTGTAAAATGTAACTGACTCTTTTAGAAGGACATTTCTGTCATCGCAACATTAGGGGAAAAAATATGCACTTTCAGCTCACTGCAAAAAAATGCTATTCTTACTTAGTATTTTTGTCTTGTTTCCAGTCCAAATATCTAACAATTATTTAATCAATATGCAATAGATAAGTAAAATTGCAAAAGATATTCTGTCTTGTCTTCTGAAAATATAAAATAAAATAAAAATAAGTGAGTTTTTGCTTAAAACAAGCCAAATTATCTGCAAATGGGGTAAAAAAATAATAATCTTAATTCAAACGGAAACAAGATTATGTGGTAACCCTTACTTTTACAGTACAGTACTTACGTGTACTTACAGTGTACTTACCTAGAAAGTACTGGCTAATATAAGGTAAGTACATGGGTTAGGGGTAGGTTTAGGGGTAGGTTCAGGGTTAGTACCAAGTTATTACCCAGTAATTATAATTATTATAATAAGTACATAGTAAGTACATGGGTAACTGGACTGTAAAAGGAAGCGTTACCGATTATGTTTCTTACCCCACTGGCAGATAATTTAGCTTGTTTTAAGCAAAAACTCACTTAATTTTGCATTCAGATAAAAATTTGGCATTTTACTTGTCTAGTAAATGCATCTTGATTTAAGAAGTTTTAGATATTTGGAATGGAAACAATACAAAAATACTAAGTAAGAATAGCATTTTTTGCAGCGAGATGAGAGGGGGTGGCAGGGGGCATACGATACTATTGGACGATTCGTGGAGTGGATGGGGGAAAATGCTGTGTCATTCCTATATGGTGCACATCTGGGACCGATCATTGAAAACAACCATTTACGTCACACACACGCACATGCAAATAACACACGCAATAATACCACTGTTGTTCTGTAGGCTTTAATGTATACATTAAAGATAAATGATTATAATGTTTACTTTAAAAATAAATTATAGATCCTTTCACAATTCAGTGAGGAATCATTTTATTTGTATAAGTTAAGAAAAAGGGTTGCATTTTTATTGAATTTAATAGTTTTAGTATTCTTTTATCAAGTTTCTACAATACCTCTTTGACTGTGTCATGCCTAAGATGAATTTCTTTCTAACGTCAGTTGATCTTTTGACCCTTTAGCCGGAGAAGTCCTGGAAGATTGATCTTCAGCACTTGGAGAGCCTGATTGATGATAAAACAGCCTGCATGATCGTCAACAACCCATCCAATCCGTGTGGCTCAGTGTTCTCCAAAGATCACCAGCATAAGATACTTTCCGGTGAATGCACTGATTTACTCTAATCAAATAATATATGAACAATCTGTCTCTCAAAAAGAAGAATCCCATGATATTAATCGGCTATTATTTTGTGCGGCCTAGTGGCGTCAAGAAACTGCATCCCTATCCTTGCTGATGAGATCTATGGAGACATGGTGAGCTCACAATGAATACGGAAACGCCTGCATGATGATGCATTTTCTTTCTTAGAACTCTTTATTTTACAAGCTCTTTCAAGCATCTTTGATGAGGTACAGAGCTCAGGTCTTCACACAGTGGTCTTTTATGGAGTTCACACTCTAAGCTCACCTATGACCCCTGTTAAATGACGAGTCTGGCTTACTTGCAAGACACTTTTCAACCATAGCAAATTTTAGTAAGAAACTTTAAAATGCACATAAACTTTATGCTGCACAAAAGCTACTTTATAGTGGATTTGGTTTTCTTCAGATTATGTTCTTCACACTAAGAAAAAAATCAGGAATCAAAAATGTTTTTTTATGGCATTACTACGAAAGCCCTTTTTTGAACCTTTTTAGTGTACTCCAACTGTAGTGAACATCCTCTTGTTGGGTGGCGTGCATTTTCCTGGCTCAGCTCAGCCTCGACCAGCAGTGGAAACCACATCAGCACTGGAAGGATTATAGTTGTGTGTGTGGTGAATGGAAGCCTGACAGCATTTTGAGCTTTAGGTCATGAAGGACAGTGATGGTAGAGCTGGGGGCAACAGGTCCACAACTCTGGACAGTAGTGGTGGCCTATAGAGAATGCGGAGAAGGGTGCCGTTTCAGCTTAGTATAGGAGTCATCACCTCAATGACTATGCATTTTTCATCACATGTGTTTGTGGTTAGAGCATGTGTGAAGATGACATCAGAGGCGATGTAGAAGGTATAGGCAGAAGAAGGGGCCACTTGTTTCATTGCAGGTTGCATGTTGACTGTCTAGATGTGTTTTTGAGTTCCATCTGGTACAGTACTTGTGGCCTCGATGTCTGGACCCTGTTAAAAACCAACAGCAACAAAACATATGAGCTTGTGAAATAGGGCCAACTCCGCAAATTACAGTATCTTAGCCAATGGGAGATGGGGCGGATCCATCTCCCAGACATAAAGCCATAATCGTAATTAGAGCCAGGTGGACGACCGCAAAACAGCTACAAGAAAGGAATTCTCTCTCTCACTACCTTTGTAACTTTCTCAAAACCCTTTCTAAACTTCCATGTTCTGCATGGTAACAGCATGCAGAAGATTCTAGAAATCAACTAACTAATAGTATGTTAGCTTCACAATTGTCTACTACTGCGCAAAAATGTAAAGAAATATAATGTGAACGCAGGTGCAGGAAGCAGAAATGTATACACTGTCTGCCATTCAAAAGTTTGGGATCGATAAGATTTTTAATGTTTTTAAAAGAAGTATTGAGCAGTATATTAGAATGATTTCTGAGGGATCATGTGACATTGAAGACTGGAGTAATGATGCTGAAAATTCAGCTTTGCATCACAGGAATAAATTGCATTTTAAAATAGAAAACTCTTGTTTTTGGGGGGGGGGTTTTATGAAATAAATGCAGCTTTGGTGAGCATAAGAGAGTTCTTTTAAAAACATTAAAAATATCACCGATTATATATATATATATATTACTCTTCAAATGTTTGTTGTCTGTAAGACTTTTTTAAAGAAACTATGCATTTGAAATGGATCATAGGTGACAGTAACAACATTTACATTACAATTTTTTTTTTTTTTTCAAATCAATGTTGAACTTTCTGTTCATCAAAGAATCCTAAAAAACGTATCACGGTTTTCTACAAAAATATTAAGTAGCTGTTCAATATTGATAATAATGACAAATGTTTTTTTTTGCACCAAATCAGCATATTAGAAGGATTTTTGAAGGAAAGACTGGAGTACTGACACAATTTCACAATATTACAGTTTTTTGCAGTATTTCTGATCAAATAAATGCAGCCTTGGTGAACATAAGAGATTTCAAAAACAGAATATCTGACTGGCCCCAAAGTTTTAAATATCATCTTCTGCATCTTGCCAATTATAAAGATAATTTCTTATTATATTATATTATAAATATGTGTTAAGAACAATGTTGCTATTTACAGTGTTGTAATGAGTTGTCTGTCATTCTGCAGGTTTTCTCTGGCTGTGATTTTCAGTCTTTGGCACCTCTCAGCAGTGACGTGCCCATCCTATCCTGTGGAGGTCTGGCCAAGCGCTGGTTGGTGCCTGGCTGGAGGATGGGCTGGATCCTCATCCATGACCGTAACAATATATTTGGAACCGGAGTAAGTATTAGCCTCTCACCTGTAACAGAGAATGAAATGCAAAAAATACAACAAAACAATAATGCTTATATTCACTTTAGATTCGAGAGGGTCTTGTGAAACTAAGCCAACGCATTTTAGGACCCTGTACTGTGGTTCAGGGAGCATTAGAAAGTATTTTGAATGAAACGCCACCAGAGTTCTACCAAAGCACCATCAGTTTCCTCAAGGTAAGAGGAGTAGAGCTTCAGAGAGAAAAGCTATTCGGCATCTGACTCTGACAATAACACACTTTTTATGATTCTCTTCAGTCAAACTCTGAGATATGTTTCTCAGAGTTGTCAACTGTTCCCGGGCTGAATCCAGTGATGCCATCAGGAGCCATGTACATTATGGTGAGTGTAATTAAAGTGGTACTGAAATTTAAGTTAATTAACCTCCCTCCAGAGATCTGTTGAAGTCATGATGGAACAGAAGTAGCGAGATATATCTTATTTATTGTGATGCACATCCGAGTAAAAACAAATTATAAAACAAGATGCATCAGAAGTCCGGCAGGTCAAAACAAAGAAAACGTATGCATGGATAAATCATTCACAATAAGATCAATAACACGCATTTCAAAAATAAAACTGGGTGAATTTTTGTTTCATGCCGACTGTAAACTTTGTGCCCCAAACTTATTGACCGGTCAGCAAGTTGAACAGGTTTTTTTATTTAGACTGCTTTTGTGAACTGGATTGACAGATTCAATGAGAAGATCAGACTCAAAATAATAATACATTTTCTGTTATTTAAAAAAACATAAATGTGAGTAAATAATGTCAGAATTTTCATTTTTGGGTTAACTATCCCTTTAAATGGCCTGATAGACACTGATCATACTTGGCACATTTGCTCACCAGGACGTCCATATTAAGAAGTGAGCATGTTTGCAAAGAGTGCAAAGTTGCAAGTTAACAAAGGTGAAATGTATTTTATGCTGGCTCATTCTCAGGTGGGTATCGCGATTGAACACTTCCCAGAATTCCAGAATGACGTGGAGTTCACTGAACGGCTGGTCACTGAGCAATCTGTGTTCTGTTTGCCCGCTACGGTGAATTATTCATCTCCCTATTTTACCTTATTTCTTTATTCACTTTTATTGTCTGACCAAAGCTTGGTTCCACCCTTTTTATATTTCAATTCTGACACCCATGTTGTTTCTCGCTGCAGGCATTTGAATATCCAAACTACTTCCGAATTGTAGTTACAGTCCCAGAGGACATGATGATTGAGGCATGCATTCGGATCAGGGAATTCTGCTCACGTCATTACCGACCTCGGAGCCAAGACAGTCACGAACTAGACCAGTGAAAGAGACAAAGAATGAAAGGTCAAAAGAGGATAAGAAAGGTCAAAAGAAAAGTGGTGTCCAAAGGTGCAAAATGAATGAAATTGTTAAAAGAGAGGACACCGTTATGTGCATAAGCCAAAGTTCTATGCAAGCAACATATTTATATTTTTTATATGTGCTAGTATTACATAGGGAAAGGAGTGGGAGGATTGGTGGTTTGGGGGTTATTGTATAAATATTTTTCCATCGTTATAAAATATTGTAGTCTCTTTTCTTACACTGTAAAAGACATTGTGGTTTGGGAAGGCTTGTGACCAAACCATAAAGTAATTTTGTGTGTAACTTGCATGATGTGAAGTATTTATCCTATATGTGATGTTTTAGGAATAAAACATTTGTAGTGCATATGTTTAATTTGCATGCTCAACCACTCAAAATGACATATATGGCACACATATGACGTCTAATGTTCTTTAGGTTTTTGTTTTCAATTGTTACACCTGAAAAATTATTTAAATAAAATTGTATCTAATGAGTTCTTTAAGGAGCAACATTTTTAATGTCTTATTGGTGCAAATCTATTATTATTATTAAAGGTACACTGTGTAACTTTCGGCCATCTAGCAGTTAAAAACAAAACTGCCCATTCTGCTCATAGACAGTGCTCCAGCATATCAACAATGACCGCGCCGGTCCGCGCGGACTAAGATTGACAGCTAGCTCACGAGCGAGGGCGGGTCTGTGTTGAAACCCTTCTGTCAATCAACAATCGTGGGAGGGGCGTCCGACCGTGTGACGTCACACGGTCGAACGGCTTGATTTGAGGCAGGGGAAAACATATAAGGAGATTAAAACAAAACCACTGGATGGATTTTTATCATTATATGATGGCTGTGTACAGGCACTGCCAACACACATTTCAGTACAATCAACTTGTAAAAGTGCATGTACCATTATATGACCCCTTTAAGTAACAAAAATTCCATCTCCACCTCACATTTAGGCTACAACATTTTAAATCCCAGTTCTCAGGATCTCCAAAAAGCCAAGCCAATGTTTATTCTTGTTTTATTACGAGCTCTATCGCATTCTATTTGTCAGCAGACTCTGTTCACTTTTTGTTTTTAAACGGGTGATTACGGTGGCCGAGTACGGTGGCCGAGAGAGCTCAACGCGCTGCAACTGAAGAAAACGCATGCAAATAGAAGAAAACACATGCAAATAGAAAACAACGCGTGCAAATAGAAAAAAAAACATGCAAATAAAATAAAACGCATGTAAATAGAAAAAAACGCGTGCAAATAAAAAAAACACCTGCAAATTAAGAAAACATCTTCATCAGTTTCACAACACACGTGTGCTCCAAATACTAACAACACCACCAAATACATAAACGCGCTGCAAATAACACAGAGCACAACGGAAATGTTTCCAGGGGAACCAAATAAGTGACAAACCCGGCTGGGACGTGCTGGCATAGATATCCATAAATCTATGCGTGCTGGTGCTTACAGCTTAAAATTATACTTTATTTATTTGTTTATTTGTTTGTGCAAAACATACAGAGATTACATTTTTTATGACATACAACTTGTATACAATGTACAAAATGTATTAACAATATGTTCAATGTCATCAGAATACAAATGAGAAAAGAACAATGAGCTGGAAACTAAAATAAATAAATAAAAAAGATAAAGAAGAAAAACATGAAGGAAAGATATTTATCTATACATCAGTTACACTGTACAAATTGTTTCATGTTATTACATTTTCATAAAGAAAAGTTTCGTAAGAAATGTTAGGTAATGTAGGGTCCAAAATTTTAAAGTTGAGACACAGATATATAACGCATAATTTAAAAGCTTTTTTTGTAAACTAAAAATAAAAATGTATTTGCATCCGTTATGTTAACAGCATCATATTTCTGTCGTAAGACCAGCTGATGGACACCGTGCTGCGTTGTTATGGGAACATCCCACGTTGTCTTTAGTTACTCCCTTCATCAAGTGCGTTCCACACGGCTGCCTAACAGCCCACTAGAGCCTTGCTCACTCCAAAAGGGCTCTGCAATCTGCCCTTCGAAGGGAGTATGGCATAGGGAAGCTCACGAGCAATAAGCACGTCTCAGCCGGGTTCGTCACTTATTTGGTTCCCCTGGAAACATTTCCGTTGTGGTCTGTGTTATTTGCAGCGCGTTTTCTGTATTTGGTTGTGTTGTGAACTTTTGCAGCGCGTTTCCTTATTTGGAGCACACGTGTGTTGTGAAACTGATGAAGATGTTTTTTTAAATTTGCATGTGTTTTTTTTCTATTTGCATGCGTTTTTTTTGCTATTTGCACACGTTTTTCTCTATTTGCATGTGTTTGCTTCAGTTGCAGCGCGTTGAGCTGTCTCGGCCACCGTAAAATCAGGGTAAAACAAAACACGTTTTGGAAGAAGGATATTCTTTAAATGTGGTTAATTTTGAACAAAATAAGTTACATAGTTTAACTTTAAGGATTGCAGGAGGTGGATTTTTGGAAAGGGTGGAGAGAGATTTAAATGCTTTTGTGTCAGTGTGCTGCCCTCGAGTGTTTGATGCACGAATTGCAGAATACAAAGCTTTGCTCTTTGTTATACCTTTTTAAAAGGTGAAAACTTATTTTTTACACTTAAATTTAGGTTTCATTATCTTTGGGGGGACTTTCCACAGACGTAATGATTTTTATACTGAACAAACTGTTTCTATCCCCTAACCCTAGGCTACTCTAAACCTAACCATCGCAGATAACGTTTAGCATTTTTACATGTTCGAATAAGCATAGTTTAGTATGTTTAATAATCCATTTCCCTCGTGGGGACTGCTGGTAATCCAGAATGTTGATGATCTCAGGTTTTACTATCCTTGTGAGGACATTTGATCCTCACAACAATGTTGGTTAAACAAGTACACACACACACACACACACACACAAACAGACACACACACGAGGAAGTAACACAGGGTCACATGAGCTCTAAGGTCACTTTCACACAATTGTGCCAACATACGTACAGGAACAATAGTGGTAAATTATCTGCACTCACGCACATACACACTACTGACACACTCCTTGTCCAGTTCAATGATTAACTGCAAAGATAAAGAGAAGGCAGGTCTGCTTAAACTGCAAAGAGGTAGATATGAGCTAGAAATATAGAGACAGGAAAAGGACTGGAAAGACAAGTCAGTCCACTTAGCTGCTATTCATTGCACTTACATGGAGGAGAGAGCTGGACAACCTAGGACGATTGAACTAAATGATGGCACACGCATGCCACTACTGGGACTTGGAACATGGATGCCAGAGGTAGCATTCCATTTCTATAATGGCCTCATACTAACTACACATATATAGGATAAATTCAGATCAATCTGGAAACTTTTTTACATTGAAATGACTCTCAGATGAGCATTCAGATTTACCTGAATAGGGGTTAGGGGACATTAAAAGGGCTAGTTGTCACATTGGGAAGTTCTATGGAAAACTACAAGAACTACAAGTTTTGTTGCACAAATGCTAGCAGTAATTTTTATGTTGGTTTCAATTATTATAATTATAAACAATAAAAATAGGCTATTCAATGACAGGTTTACATTGTGACAACATGCCCCATCTCCCATATGTGTGTGTAATATATGCTTGTGTGTTATTATTGTTATATATGTAATTATTAATTGCTTGTGTTTCCCTGTATTTTTTAATTTTGTTAGATTTTTTCCCTTGTCTTAATTTTGTGATTTCTGTTTTTTAACACATTACCAACATATGCATTACACTTTTTCAGGACCAAAGGACAGCCATCATGTAATGTTTAATAGTGTAATAATGGCATAATCTTATGCAACAGGAACTAGCAGTGTTTTAATGTTTTACAACATGGTAAACAGGCCACTGGCCCAGATATGTGTCAAAGGGCAGTTGAGGCAGCGATCGCTGCTGGATATCGGCATATAGATACAGCCTACAGCTACCGGATTGAGACAGAGGTGGGGAAGGCCATCCAGTCCAAGATACAGCAGGGCATCATCAGACGCCAAGACATGTTCATAGTTAGTAAAGTAGGTTTAAGTTATGTTGGTGATCTAAGGTGGAATAGACACATTTAAAATGAGCAAAACATCATACATGCAATAATGATGTCTCTCTTTTCCAGCTGTGGGGTACTCACCATGCTTCTGAAGACATTCCAGTTTGCTTAAATAAATCTTTAATTGACCTTCAGCTAGACTACCTGGACCTCTACCTAATGCACTTTCCAGTAGGACTTAAGGTAATACAAGAATCAGTGACCTCAAAATTCTTTGGACACTTAAGTCACACTTAAAAATAATTTGTATCAATACATTTGATTCATATATACACTACATTGCCAAAAGTATTGGGACACCCCTCCAAATCATTGAATTCAGGTGTTCCAATCACTTCGATGGCCACAGTTGTATAAAATCAATCACCTAGGCATGCAGACTGCTTCTACAAACATTTGTGAAAGTATGGGTCGCTCTCAAAAGCTCAGTGAATTTAAGCATGGTACTGCGATTGGTTGCCCAGCAATTGATTGGAACTCCATTCGTGAAATTTCCTCACTACTAAATATTCCACTGTCAACTGTTAGTGGTATTATAACAAAGTGGAAGCAATTGGGAACGACAACAACTCAGCCAAGAAGTGGTAGGCCACGTAAAATCACAGAGCAGGGTCAGCGCATGCTGAGGCACGCAGTGCGTAGAAGTCACCAACTTTCTGCAGAGTCATTAGCTGCAGACCTTTGTGTGGCCTTCAGATTAGCTCAAGAACAGTGCATATAGAGAGCTTCATGGAATGGGTTTCTATGGCCAAGCAGCTGCATCCAAGCCTTACATCACCAAGTGCAATGCAAACGTCGGATGCAGTGGTGCAAAGCACGCCGCCACTGGACTCTTCACACTTCTGGCAATCCAATGGACGAGTCTGGGTTTGGCGGTTGCAAGGAGAACAGTACTTGCCTGACTGCATTATGCCAAGTGTAAAGTTCGGTGGAGAGGGGATTATGGTGTGGGGTTGTTTTTCAGGGGTTGGGCTTGGCCCCTTA